CAATATGTCTTGACTTGTAATTGTCATTAAGGAATTTCGAATGGTTCATCCAGGTTTTGCAACCATTAATCCTGAACCCTTTAAATTTATATTGGAGGTTCCGTCTAAACACACTGCAGATAATGTTAGTGTGGATCTTGTTGTAAAAATCCAGTGATTTTTGGCATGTGTCCTTATCCAGACTAACGGTCTTTCTGCCTTTATTAATCTGCAAGAAGAATCAGTTTTATTATGAGACATCTGCATTTCACAGCTAGTTTCAGAAGAGAACATTTCTTGTTTGTTGTAGCATATAAAATTTGCTATTACAACACTCTAATTCGAAAAATAATAAAAAAACCTCTTCTAAATATTGCTGCGTTCGTTTATTTCTTAGCGCTTCAAGTTTCTTACTGCCCATTGTTGCTTATTTATTAAAACGTGTGTTAACATCGAAAAACTTAATAAAATTTTTATTTAAAAATTGTTGGGCCAAGCAGCCAAAGACAGGGATGAATAGTCCAAAAGACGTTAAAGGCGGATGAGCAGAGGCGGGTTTATCAGCATTCCAGTTTCGCATAAACTTTGCTGGTATTTGTAACGCATGCGCTTTTGGGAGCTGTGTGGAACTACTGCACACTAGCTCGTCGCGTATTTGTGGGTGTCTCCCCCGCCATGTCTCTTGTCCACGTAACAGCTACATAGCTCAGAGCTTTTCTTGCTAAGCTTAATGTACTTGTATATTATATATTATCAAGTGAGACTATAAGCATTTGTCTAGGCTTCAAATGATTTCGTATCTGATTTAACTGATCCTTTAATTGCCTTGGTGACAGCATCATTGGCCTTATTGCGTTCTGCCGAATATCTGTTAAAACGTTTATTATCTCGGTTAGCATTCTTTGCAAACTGGAGGCTAATAGAGAAAGTTGAGTCGCAAGTCTTATGTACCATGAAAATTTATTAAATCTACTTTCAGTACCAGTTGTTTCTGCGATATAATTCTCTATCCCTTTTAAACGCTTGGAATTCCTTTTAATGACATTAATTATAGAGTCAATCAATTTATGTTTAACAAAGGAAGCAAATGCTTCTCATTCGCCTTAACCTTTGTTATCGTTTGCACCATTTTATCAGCGTAGGTAGAGTCTGGCAATATTTCCGACAATGTCCAACGGCGCTCTTGGCTGACGTGATCTTGCTATCAGCATGTTTTCAGCTTGAAGATCCTCCTCGATGTGTTTAAAATGGTCATACATGCCGGTACATAGCTCAGTTTCTGGAAACTGCTTGCACAAGTGACCAATTTTTGTTGTGCCCATAGAAAAGGTACTCATGGCCTTCCAGTAGGGTTGCAAATTATAGTAAACAATTAAAGCCCAATCCGTTTTCGCAAGTTGACTCTTTCCAATCATTTCAAAGAATATTCCAGGTTTCGATGCAAATTGAGCAATTGAGTAATTGATTGTGCTGCTACTAAAGGTAATATAAGAAACATACCTATTAACGCCATTGTTAGTGAAGGCATTGTTGATTTCTTCGGCCTATTCGCCTGCCTCTCATCAGGTGTATTCTCATCTTCCTCTACGGTATATCTCGTTTAAATATTCCTTTACTCGTTTTGACTTCTACAACTCTGACAAAATTATCCTTGCCATGAATTGTCTTAATTATTCGTCCCATAGCCATTGCAAAACTGGAGTATTGTCTTCCCTTATCAACACTAATGCTCCTTCCTTTACGTTTGCCGAGGATCTTCTCCATTTCTGACGATGCTGAAGTTGTTGCAGATAATCAGTTGACCATTGAGTCCAAAACGCATGCTTTAACTTGGAGACGGCTTGCCATCTCTATCCCAATGATTGTGGTTGCTGAGATGGCTTACTATCTGCTTGTGCGGTTAATGGTTCTTCAATTAGAAAGTGACCAGGGGTAAGTGCCGTCACATCATTTGGATCGCTCGATATCGGAACCAATGGTCTTGAATTCATGATAGCTTCTATTTCCACTGTCACAGTTTCTAATTCTTCATAGGTCAGATCCGCTGTAGAAACATTCTTTAGCAATAAATGTTTGGCCGATTTTACCGCCGCTTCCCAAAGTCCTCCAAAATGCGGTGCTCTTGGTGGGATAAACTTAAAGTTGACTCCTTTATTATTGCATGTCTCCACTATAGACTTCTTGGCCTTTTCTGAGAAGATAGCTTCTTCCAATTCTTGAAGCTTATTCCTTGCTCCAACAAAATTCGTAGCGTTATCGTAGTGTAAAGTCTGACATTTCCCCCGACGGCGTATGAATCGACTAAGTGCTGCCAAGCATGCTTCTGTGGTTAAATCGCTGACTAATTCCAAATGCACTGCCTTGGCACAAAGCAAGAAAAGATTGCTATGTAGGCAGTATGTGGTTCCTTTCCACGAATTTTATAGTGAATCTTAAATGGTCCACAATAGTCAACTCCAGAATTAAGAAACGGTCGAGCTTGTGTGACTCTTAAGGGTGGTAACTGTCCCATTATTTGTCCTATAACTTTGGTTCAGCTCTGGTGCATTTGACACATTTTAAAATTTCCTTAATTCTTTGATTTCAGCGCAAAAATTATTGTGCTGAATTAAACGGAGAACTATCCTTTGAGATTGTTCCAACTCTTCAAATTTCACCATTGTCGTTGTGTCTGAAGATTTTCTTTTGAAACGCATAATGTAGGCTACTATTCAAGTAATTTATCGAATGAATTTCTGTGATTTATACTATTAATCCAATTCGGATTTTGCGTGGTAGCTACAAAAATTTCTGGGGTTTCCTGGAATCTCATGTCATTTAACATTTTTAAATCTTCCCGGAATTGCTTTCATTCCGATTGTAATTGCGTTGGCAATTCTTCATTATATTCAAATTTCTCCTTTGTTAAGCCTTGCATGAATTTTTTGGCCTTTATAACTACTGGTACTGGAAAATAGTCCGAGAGGATCGAATATTTTGAATACTTCTGAAACCACAGTGCATCTTGTTATTTTGTCTGTGTTCACCGCTTGTGTTTTTCCAAAGAGTTTGTCAATCGTAGGGTTCCAAGTGATTCTCAAGGTTTTAATGCTGCAGTCCTCATAAACAGCATCTTCAAATTGTACTGTAGAAATTGATATCTTTCTTATCCAGTCCTTGAAAAAGATGGTTACTATTGGCGCACAATTTTCTGAATTTAAATCCGGGACTTAATAGTATGTGATTAAGTTCCTTTTGAATTTGAAGTGCCTCTGATATTGTATCAGCTCCGGTGATACAGTCGTCGACATAAAAATCATTTTTAAGAGCAGACGATCCTATGGATTACCTTGCTTGCTAAATACAAGCATTTCGTCGCCAGATATGGTGCAGACTTAGTGTCATAAGTGACGGTTTTCAAACGATAAAACTTAAGCCTTTCCGCCGTATCATTTCTCCAGACGATCAGTTGATATTGTTGATCACTTGGATTTATCCAAATCTGTCTGTAAATTTTTTTAATGTCAGCAGTGAATACATATTTATGCATTCTAAATCGAAGCAATATTGACATTAAACTGTTGTGCACCGTAGGACCTTTGTGCATTAAATCGTTCAAAGATTTCCCGGAAGATGTCACTGCAGATGCGTCAAATACAACTATTAATTTTGTTGTCTTACTATCGGGTTTGAGAACACAATGATGCGGTATAAAGTTGTGGGACTTCGGGAGATGTATATGAGGTACTTCCTTCATATGCCCAAGAGCTTCATACTCCTTCATAAACTCTATGTATCCTTGTTTTATTGCCTGATCCTTTTGCAATCGTTTCTCCAATGATAGAAACCGTCTCGTGGCAATGTCACGACTCTCCCCCAGCGCTGAAGTATGCTCCAAAAAGGGTAACTTAACAATCAGTCTAGAGTCCTGAGCCTTCTGAACGTTCTGAATGAAGTGATCTTCACACTGTTTCTCCATTGGTGAATAGCATTTTGACTCTGGTTGAAAATTATCCAATTCCCAGAATTTAGCGAGTTGCTCATCAACCTTTTCTCCTTCCGTAAGTACAGCACATACTGATGATGTAGGTGCTCTCTCCGAAATTTTCCCAGCTACAATCCATCGATGTTTGGTATTCTGTATTCCCCATTCTTTAAGCTCATGCACTCGGCTCGCATTATATTGAAGAAATGCTCGGCTCCAAGAAGAATATCAATTTTTACAGGCTTTCCAAATTGAGGGTCAGCCAATATTATATTTTTTGGTATTTTCCAATTATCAGTTAAAATTGTATACGTTGGTTGATCAACGACTATGTGAGGCAAAACCGTTGCTTCAAGCCGTGAACTAAAATCGCCTTGTGTTGAGTTTAGCTGAACGTTGATCCTTGCCTCGGAAGTCTGAGATGTTCCGCCAATGCCATTTATTTTCAGCATCGAATTTGTGGTTTTCAGTGAGAGCATTTTATTTGCTCTTTCGGAAATGGCATTAATTTGGGATCCAGAGTCAAGCAGGGCTCTGAATTCTGAATAATATCTTGAACGGGCGGTCGCCAGGAGAATATAGCTGGATTGCTTTCCACTCGCAGATGCGGCCGTGATACTATCCGAGAGGTCCGGTTATGTTTCCAAATGCAACAATGTATTGTGCTTTTTGTTGCATTTAAAGCAATCTCGTTTTGTGCAGGTCTTTGACGGGTGATTTTGGCTTAGACATTTAACACATAATTTTTGTTTTTTAACCCAGTTAAGACGTTCTGCTGGGGGTTTCTTTAAAAACTCATTGCATTTAAATTTGCTGTGATTTGGTTTCATACAAAGGAAAAAGTTATATTGTGTCTCAGCTCCAACTGATGCACATGTATTTTGTTTTCGTCCTTTTTCTGATCCAATGGCTTCAAACGTGAAAAACCTTTGTTCAAGAAAGTTTAAAAATTCGTTTATAGGTTGAATTTTCCTTGTATTTTTGAACGGATTGTTCATACAACAAGTGGTTTTGTCGATCAAGCTTTTTTGTTAGAAGACAGAGTAGAAGTGGATCCCATTTGTCTGTCACATTATCATGCCACGATTTTATTGTTTTGGAATCATTTGTTATCATTGAATCATGCAATAATTTTTGAATTATGGTATTACTTAATACTCTTTTATTGTTGAAGCGTTCTTCAAGTGTTTTCCACGCAGTTGAATAATTTGCCTCCGTTAGTGATAAATGGCGAATTAGGCTCTCTGCCTCTCCATTAACGTTAGTCTTGAAGTACCACATTTTTTGTATAGTGGGTAACGTTGATTCGATAATTATTTTTCTGAAAATATAATGCAACTGTTGCTATTTTAAGTAATCCCCATCAAATTTGGGTATGGCTACCTTTGGAAAATGTAATGCATTTTGAACAGCTCTTGGTGGAGAACTATTTATTGTCTCCTTTTTCACATACATTTCGGTTTGTACATTTAATACTGCATCTTCTGCTGCCATGTATCTGCTGTCGTCATATCCAAGTTCCTTCGGGTCCTTAAATTTTTTAAAAATTTGGATATGAATATCATTCCAGTATTGTGTAATGACGAGTGTGAAATTTTGTTTCGTTTCTTCTGTCATTTTATTCATGATGCGCTCTAAGCTGTCAAGCAACACTCTCTGTTCTCTGAACATCGATTCTATTTCGATGTCCTCTGCTGTGGATGCGATGCATGTAACATCCGCTTCCAAAAGAGACAACTTATTGTTGAATTCTGTCTTATAATCCTTAACCAGTTGCTTCATTTTTTTAAAGAGTTCATTATTAAAATAATTGTGTTCTAGCGTGACTCCTTTGAGGAAATTATTTATTTCATTATCTCCGGAGTTAAATTTATCCCACAGGGATTCTAACGTTAATAAACGTTCTCTGTAGTAGGCTAGTTTAGTCTTCCTGTCGACGGAATCCTTTTTGTAATTCCGAATGACATTCTAATTGTCCTGTCATCAACTGAAGAATATTGTTCTGTGCCATTTTTACCTTTTTTATATAGCCCGATTAAGAGGTATTTTGTAATGATGTGCCTCGCCTCACACCGTTGGATATATATATGTAAATTGGCTTTGAACAGATCGATCAGTGAAACAGCAGTTTACCTGGTTCAAATCGCCTGGTTGATCAGAACTGTCCTTTTCAACTTAAATCCTCACAGTGTTTGATCGCCAAGTTGATCGCAGACCGGAAGTAGTTGAACTTACCGTCTTTTGGTCGCCTTGTTGACCGTTGAAGACTGAATTGACGTCGTGAAGTCGGATCAAATGGATATTATATTGGACCGATATATGCGGTTCAAATTTTTTACCAAATTGACATTTGGTTGATCAAACTATGATCGATGATGCAGGTTCAAATTGGAGTCCCAATTTGAACAATTGTTGCGGTTCAAAGTCGGGGGTCACCAAATGTAGAATTTCTACCGAAATCGGGTTTACTGAAAAGTTTTTTTTGCGTGCCTCAAGTACAGAACCAGAGGCAATAGTCGCCGCAATAAGTACAGAATCAATTGGGCTGCGAAGAAGTGAATACGTCAAGAATTCTTTTCGTACTGATTTTATTGAGCATGAATCCGGACTTATATATACGATTTGGGGTTACAAGAATATTTACTTAGGTCTAGTCTAGATACAAATGGACAACATGGTTTATTAATAGATTACAGGAAAATATCCTAAATAAGCAATTACATCTACCAAATGGTGTGAAGACACGTCCGTCGGCTAGATGCATATGGTTTATGACCCGTTTATCACATGCAGATGTGCACAGACCAAGAAATCAGTTACCTATTTATTTAGGTCAAAGTAGCTATCAGAAGCGAACGAATTTCTGCTAAGTCGAAATCGTACAGTGGCTGAAGCTACTACTCTTACTAAAGTACTTTCGATTGGCGACACACACTAGGCGTCGCTTTTCTGAGAATAAATTTATAACCATTTTTCTAAAGCTGACTTCATATTATTGTACTGCGCCCGGAGAACATAAAACAAGTTCGGCAGTCGATCGAACATTTACCTAAAGCTTAAGTTGTGTTTCTACACGATTTCCCATTATGATTATTTATTTATCTTTAACAGAGATTTAGGATTTTTAAAGTTAGGTGCGGAATGTTCGAAATGTATAAGTAATCGTTAATAAGCTAACACGACTTAATTTTTCAAGGTCACATTTTGCTGCGGAGCCCCTGTGTCGGTTTTTGTCTCTCTGCGTTTGTGTTCCTTTTTTGTGATAGTTGACAGTTTTATTTGTCAGTTAACTACTTTAATTATAAATTAATTAATTTTTTTTAGGTTTTTTTTTAAATAATTTTTATTTTTATTCCAAAAGGAGATTCACGACAGTATATTTAAAATTTATGCGAAAAGCTGCGAAATTACGGGAAGTTATCGGAAATGTTCAGTTTAATATTGAGAATGACGGCTAAAATTTCGAAATCAACAAACTTTGTAACCTTTAGTTACCAAGATATAAGCGTTTCAACAAAAATCGAAAATCGTCGTTTGAGCTTGGTGGTCGTACGAGTTGGTGTGACCCATTTTCTAGCTCTAATAGTTCCTGAGATTTCAGCGATTTCCGTTTTTCGTGATTTGATCGTCATCTTTGTATCTTTTATAGTTCCGGAGATCTCAGCGTTCATACGGACAGACGGACATGGCTAAACGACTTGGCCAGTGGTCGCAAATAGGGGTCTTTAAAAGGTCACAAGAGCTTCCTTGTATCTGTTACATACTTTTTAATATTTACTTAAAGCATTTACTCGTATAGTAAAATGGATTTTGATTTACTCTACAAGTAAATGCTTCAATTATAGGGCCGATCACGGAAAAGAAAATAATCCGGGAAAACAGGAATCTAAACATTGATTCTTTGCTGAAAGAGAAGTACTGGATAGAGCTTTGCAACTTAACTCAGGACCCAGAACCGATGGACACCCTTTATCTTCTTAATCTAGACAGCAGACAAACTTTTGGGTAGTTAAGCAATCTGCCAATGCAAACAAAGATAAAGATTACGAAGCGCGGCTGTTGACGTCCTTAGTGCAATTGCGGATGGTAGTGACTCAGCTACTCCAACGACATTTTTTATCTGTCCTTCTAGGTAAACCTTCAACAGACCAGTCTGTGTTGTTGAAAATTAAGAATACGATTTCGAAGTTAACATGAAAAAACGACTGCTGAGCTATCAATTCTTATAATTCCAGCGAGCATGCGGAAGTCAAAATACTTGACTATACTAGACTCAAAACCAGGAAAACCTCTTTTTACATAAGGCGGGGAAAATACGAGTCTTACCGTTTGCTATTTGGGCTAGAAAACTCAGGAAGCACTTTCCATAGGTCGATCAACGATGTGCTACTCGAACATATCGGGGAAATGTATTATGTTTACGATGATGATGTACTATGTTTTTTGTTCGAGTCGAGTTTTTGGGCTTTATAGTGATAGCAAAAGGAACCAAAACCGACCCAAAAAAGGTTATGGGAATACTGGAATATACTGAACCAAAAAAGAATTCAGTCTCAGGTCGTTCCTTGGCTTGGCCAGGAAATGGTTTCGCGTTAATAGCAAGGATACTAACCTCTATTCTTAAAGTGGAAAATGGCACCGTTAGTAAACGCATTTTAAGGAAAGTTGCAATCGAATTTGACTAGGAACATCGTCTTTGGAACACAAATCGCATCCTTTTGAATTAAACTCTACCTAGGACTCATAGGACTGGTAATGTCGAGGCGAAACTCTGTCATTTGATGCTCGTGACTAAGTCTGACTTCTAGGACGCAGGTTATCTATTGCCTGCAATGTCATACGGCGCTCTAATGCTGTCAGGCACACTTGGATGGTGCTCTGCAACTCCCTTAAAGGTCGTCTTGGTGTTTATGTGGAACATCTTCTTGACCGGAGTTAGACTGAGATTGTGTAACGGTCCTGCTCTGGGGTGGCTGGGACCGTTCACCGGATACCAGCAGTTCGTTCCAACATTTAATTTGATATCAGGCGTGGTTGCTGCAAAGAAGATTCCACCCAGAGTAAGACGCAGCTTGTTTAGTTAAGAATAGAACAGATCTTAGTTATTTATTTCATATCTATGGGTAAAGAGTTAATTCACAGGGATCGGTTGGTCGTTGCCGTGGATGTTCTGCGGGCCTGGGAGAGAGAGCTTCCGAAGGGGGTAGCCGGGGGTTCGATGCTCCGTCGTGGGCCGTGGGGATGCCGCGTGGGGACAGGGCCAGGCCGTCTTGGTGATCCGCTAGCTAAGAAAGGGAAAGAAGAAATGATGGAACGTGTGTAGGCCCGAGGACCAGTCACGCGAGCGAGTGTGAATGTAAAAAGAAAAGAGATCTGGGGTTCGGTATGAGAAAGAGTGAATGGAAACCCAGTGGGTCTCGGGTGAGATGATGACGCGAGGCCCAACGGGTCCGACGCGTAAGAAAGGCAAAGCCCCTGTGGGTCTCTTGCGTGAGATGACACGAGGCCCTTTGGGGTCCGACGCGTAAAAGATTTAAAGCCCCTGTGGGACTCTTGCGATAGACCCTTCTGCCGGCGTACTGTCTTCGGCATTCGGTTCTCCCTCCTTCTGTCGTAGTTGTCCGATTTTCACTCCAGTTGCTCCTGATACCTTGGCGGTAAGAAGTACTCTAGGAGTTCCCTTCTCAGCTCTTCCCATGTCCTTAAAAAAACGTTCGCCAACCAGTACAAAACATCCCCTGTGGAGGGCTCATTAAAATCTGAGCTCCCCTATCGAAACAGTCACGCCGATAAAAAATTCATCTGGCAGCTGGGTACGCAGCGACGCGAATAGAGCCGAAACTTTTGCTTTACATCTCAGAAACGTCTTCCAGCCGAACCCTGCCACTGGTTCATTTGTACTACCACAAATCGAATTTGAATCTATTTTCTTGCTACCATTGTTTCAGCCGAAGGAGATCGCGAAAGTCATTGGGGAACTGAAACAGAAAAAGGCCCCTGGCGGTGACCAAATAACCCCAAAAATGATAACCGAACTTCCAAACTCTGCCGTTGAGGTTATTTGTAAGCTCTTCAATGGGATCATGACACTCGGCTACTATCCAAAACAATGGAAAAAATCTATTGTCATTATGATACCGAAGCCCGGAAAAGACCGTACAATTTCGTCATCCTACAGACCAACCAGCCTATTATCGTGTTTGTCTAAGTTGTTCGAAAAATGTCTTCTAACCTGCATAATACCATATCTAGAAGCACACAAAGTTTTCCCTGCTCATCAATTTGGCTTCCGTCAAAACCATGGAACAATTGAACAAGTAAACAGAATAACATCAGAAATTCGCACAGCCTTTGAGCATCGAGAATACTGCAGCGCAATATTCCTCGACGTATGTCAAGCCTTTGATCGAGTATGCCTAGATGGTCTCATGCACAAAATTAAAACACACTTGCTTGAATACACTCATAAACTTCTTGAGTCGTATTTATACAACAGAACCTTCGCAGTAAGGTGCAACACAGCAACATCCGGCGACTACATTATCAAAGCTGGAGTCCCGCGAGGAAACGCGATAGGGCCTACTCTGTTCCTCCTATACACATCGGATATTCCCACGAATGAGCAGCTAACAACATCTACTTTCGCTGACGACACCGCGATTCTAAGTCGCTCGGGGTGCCCAGGCAGAGCCACCACACAGCTAGCAAATCACCTCCTCGTAGTAGAGAGGTGGCTATCTGATTAGCGGATTAAAATAAATGATAAAAAATGTAAACACACAACGTTTACCATCAACAGGCAAACTTGCCCTCCACTATCATTGAATAACACGCAGATTCCCCAAGTTAACGACGTAACGTACCTCGGCGTCCACCTTGACAGACGACTAACCTGGAGAAGACACATCCAAAGCAAAAAGAACACCTAAAACTGAAAGCCAACAGCCTCCACTGGATTCTTAATGCCCGTTCACCCCTGCCTCTGGAATACAAGGTCTTGCTCTACAACTCTACCCTCAAGCCCAGCTATGGGGGAACGCCAGCAGAACGAATATAGACATTATAAAGCGCGTCCAGTCAAAAACCCTCCGAATTATCACTGGGGCACCATGGTATATTCGCAATCTAAACATCTACAGGGACCTAGGAATTCTTACCGTAAAAGATGAAATAGACAAACAAAAAGCGTCCTACAATGAAAAACTCTCTATGCACCCCAATCGCCTCGGAAGAAGCCTGGTTTTCAGCCGATCCCGTCTACAAAGCAACGACCTGCACAGCCAGCAATAACTTTCGGGCCCCCTATAGCACAATATCAGTCATATGACAGTTAGTTAGAGTAATTAGGTTTACGATTTGATACACTTATTGTTAGTCTCCAAAGGGAGAAGATTCAATAAAATAAATAGCAAAGTAAATAAAAAAAAAAATATTTAGTTGAAACAATCAAACTGTATGGCAACTCTGATGCTAGAGCTTACGCGTTGCAAATACTATATAGTGTTGCATAACGTTGCTGCAGGATATCTACCGAAATCGGGTTTGCTGGAAAGTTTTTTTGCGTGCCTCAAGTACAGAACCAGTGGCAATAGTCGCCGCAATAAGTATAGAACCAATTGGGCTGCGGAGAAGTGAATACGTCAAGAATTCTTTTCGTACTGATTTTATTGAGCATGGATCCGGGTTTGTATACATGATTTCGGGTTACAAGAATATTTACTTAGGTCTAGTCTAGATACAAATGGACAACTTGGTTTATTAACAGATTACAGGAAAATATCCTAAATAAGCAATTACATCTACCAAATGGTGTGAAGACACATCCGTCGGCTGGATGCATATGGTTTATGACCCGTTTATCACATGCAGATGTGCACAGACCAAGATATCAGCTACCTATTTATTTATTATTTAGTAGCTATCAGAAGCGAACGAATTCCTGCTAAGTCGAAATCGTACATACTCCCGGCCGTTGAACTAATGTTCAACAATCGTTAATGCTGATCGTGAAGTACTAAGACCGAAGAGCCGTCTCTAGTTTCAGGTGTGGTCGGCATTTGATTCAGCTGAAGGGTATATCTATGTTTTCGCCATTTCTTCATAAAATGAATTACAACAATAATTTTTATAAAAATTAATGCAATATAAATAGCAATATGATGATGTTATATATTTTTAAGATTATGTGGTAATTTAAAACTATTGGGAGGAAAGAGTTGAGCTTCTCGTTGATACAACTCCTTGTATTTAAGGTTCGGGTCTTCCATCACACTTGTAGAGGTAGATTTTGTTGAATTATGTATTAAATTCTCCGTGAGTTTTCCTTCTCCAAAGCGAGCATACGAAGTACGTAATATGGTTTCCAATATGTCTTGACTTGTAATTGTCATTAAGGAATTTCGAATGGTTCATCCAGGTTTTGCAACCATTAATCCTGAACCCTTTAAATTTATATTGGAGGTTCCGTCTAAACACACTGCAGATAATGTTAGTGTGGATCTTGTTGTAAAAATCCAGTGATTTTTGGCATGTGTCCTTATCCAGACTAACGGTCTTTCTGCCTTTATTAATCTGCAAGAAGAATCAGTTTTATTATGAGACATCTGCATTTCACAGCTAGTTTCAGAAGAGAACATTTCTTGTTTGTTGTAGCATATAAAATTTGCTAGTACAACACTCTAATTCGAAAAAATTAAAAAAAAACTCTTCTAAATATTGCTGCGTTCGTTTATTTCTTAGCGCTTCAAGTTTCTTACTGCCCATTGTTGCTTATTTATTAAAACGTGTGTTAACATCGAAAAACTTAATAAAACTTTTATTTAAAAATTGTTGGGCCAAGCAGCCAAAGACAGGGATGAATAGTCCAAAAGACGTTAAAGGCGGATGAGCAGAGGCGGGTTTATCAGCATTCCAGTTTCGCATAAACTTTGCTGGTATTTGTAACGCATGCGCTTTTGGGAGCTGTGTGGAACTACTGCACACTAGCTCGTCGCGTATTTGTAGGTGTCTCCCCCGCCATGTCTCTTGTCCACGTAACAGCTACATAGCTCAGAGCTTTTCTTGCTAAGCTTAATGTACTTGTATATTATATATTATCAAGTGAGACTATAAGCATTTGTCTAGGCTTCAAATGATTTCGTATCTGATTTAACTGATCCTTTAATTGCCTTGGTGACAGCATCATTGGCCTTATTGCGTTCTGCCGAATATCTGTTAAAACGTTTATTATCTCGGTTAGCATTCTTTGCAAACTGGAGGCTAATAGAGAAAGTTGAGTCGCAAGTCTTATGTACCATGAAAATTTATTAAATCTACTTTCAGTACCAGTTGTTTCTGCGATATAATTCTCTATCCCTTTTAAACGCTTGGAATTCCTTTTAATGACATTAATTATAGAGTCAATCAATTTATGTTTAACAAAGGAAGCAAATGCTTCTCATTCGCCTTAACCTTTGTTATCGTTTGCACCATTTTATCAGCGTAGGTAGAGTCTGGCAATATTTCCGACAATGTCCAACGGCGCTCTTGGCTGACGTGATCTTGCTATCAGCATGTTTTCAGCTTGAAGATCCTCCTCGATGTGTTTAAAATGGTCATACATGCCGGTACATAGCTCAGTTTCTGGAAACTGCTTGCACAAGTGACCAATTTTTGTTGTGCCCATAGAAAAGGTACTCATGGCCTTCCAGTAGGGTTGCAAATTATAGTAAACAATTAAAGCCCAATCCGTTTTCGCAAGTTGACTCTTTCCAATCATTTCAAAGAATATTCCAGGTTTCGATGCAAATTGAGCAATTGAGTAATTGATTGTGCTGCTACTAAAGGTAATATAAGAAACATACCTATTAACGCCATTGTTAGTGAAGGCATTGTTGATTTCTTCGGCCTATTCGCCTGCCTCTCATCAGGTGTATTCTCATCTTCCTCTACGGTATATCTCGTTTAAATATTCCTTTACTCGTTTTGACTTCTACAACTCTGACAAAATTATCCTTGCCATGAATTGTCCTAATTATTCGTCCCATAGCCATTGCAAAACTGGAGTATTGTCTTCCCTTATCAACACTAATGCTCCTTCCTTTACGTTTGCCGAGGATCTTCTCCATTTCTGACGATGCTGAAGTTGTTGCAGATAATCAGTTGACCATTGAGTCCAAAACGCATGCTTTAACTTGGAGACGGCTTGCCATCTCTATCCCAATGATTGTGGTTGCTGAGATGGCTTACTATCTGCTTGTGCGGTTAATGGTTCTTCAATTAGAAAGTGACCAGGGGTAAGTGCCGTCACATCATTTGGATCGCTCGATATCGGAACCAATGGTCTTGAATTCATGATAGCTTCTATTTCCACTGTCACAGTTTCTAATTCTTCATAGGTCAGATCCGCTGTAGAAACATTCTTTAGCAATAAATGTTTGGCCGATTTTACCGCCGCTTCCCAAAGTCCTCCAAAATGCGGTGCTCTTGGTGGGATAAACTTAAAGTTGACTCCTTTATTATTGCATGTCTCCACTATAGACTTCTTGGCCTTTTCTGAGAAGATAGCTTCTTCCAATTCTTGAAGCTTATTCCTTGCTCCAACAAAATTCGTAGCGTTATCGTAGTGTAAAGCGTATGAATCGACGAAGTGCTGCCAAGCATGCTTCTGTGGTTAAATCGCTGACTAATTCCAAATGCACTGCCTTGGCACAAAGCAAGAAAAGATTGCTATGTAGGCAGTATGTGGTTCCTTTCCACGAATTTTATAGTGAATCTTAAATGGTCCACAATAGTCAACTCCAGAATTAAGAAACGGTCGAGCTTGTGTGACTCTTAAGGGTGGTAACTGTCCCATTATTTGTCCTATAACTTTGGTTCAGCTCTGGTGCATTTAACACATTTTAAAATTTCCTTAATTCTTTGATTTCAGCGCAAAAATTATTGTGCTGAATTAAACGGAGAACTATCCTTTGAGATTGTTCCAACTCTTCAAATTTCACCATTCTCGTTGTGTCTGAAGATTTTCTTTTGAAACACATAATGTAGGCTACTATTCAAGTAATTTATCGAATGAATTTCTGTGATTTATACTATTAATCCAATTCGGATTTTGCGTGGTAGCTACAAAAATTTCTGGGGTTTCCTGGAATCTCATGTCATTTAACATTTTTAAATCTTCCCGGAATTGCTTTCATTCCGATTGTAATTGCGTTGGCAATTCTTCATTATATTCAAATTTCTCCTTTGTTAAGCCTTGCATGAATTTTTTGGCCTTTATAACTACTGGAGAAAATAGTCCGAGAGGATCGAATATTTTGAATACTTCTGAAACCACAGTGCATCTTGTTATTTTGTCTGTGTTCACCGTTTGTGTTTTTCCAAAGAGTTTGTCAATCGTAGGGTTCCAAGTGATTCTCAAGGTTTTAATGCTGCAGTCCTCATAAACAGCATCTTCAAATTGTACTGTAGAAATTGATATCTTTCTTATCCAGTCCTTGAAAAAGATGGTTACTATTTGCGCACCATTTTCTGAATTTAAATCCGGGACTTAATAGTATGTGATTAAGTTCCTTTTGAATTTGAAGTGCCTCTGATATTGTATCAGCTCCGGTGATACAGTCGTCGACATAAAAATCATTTTTAAGAGCAGACGATCCTATAAGATTTTCTGGATTACCTTGCTTGCTAAATACAAGCATTTCGTCGCCAGATATGGTGCAGACTTAGTGTCATAAGTGACGGTTTTCAAACGATAAAACTTAAGCCTTTCCGCCGTATCATTTCTCCAGACGATCAGTTGATATTGTTGATCACTTGGATTTATCCAAATCTGTCTGTAAATTTTTTTAATGTCAGCAGTGAATACATATTTATGCATTCTAAATCGAAGCAATATTGACATTAAACTGTTGTGCACCGTAGGACCTTTGTGCATTAAATCGTTCAAAGATTTCCCGGAAGATGTCACTGCAGATGCGTCAAATACAACTATTAATTTTGTTGTCTTACTATCGGGTTTGAGAACACAATGATGCGGTATAAAGTTGTGGGACTTCGGGAGATGTATATGAGGTACTTCCTTCATATGCCCACGAGCTTCATACTCCTTCATAAACTCTATGTATCCTTGTTTTATTGCCTGATCCTTTTGCAATCGTTTCTCCAATGATAGAAACCGTCTCGTGGCAATGTCACGACTCTCCCCCAGCGCTGAAGTATGCTCCAAAAAGGGTAACTTAACAATCAGTCTAGAGTCCTGAGCCTTCTGAACGTTCTGAATGAAGTGATCTTCACACTGTTTCTCCATTGGTGAATAGCATTTTGACTCTGGTTGAAAATTATCCAATTCCCAGAATTTATCGAGTTGCTCATCAACCTTTTCTCCTTCCGTAAGTACAGCACATACTGATGATGTAGGTGCTCTCTCCGAAATTTTCCCAGCTACAATCCATCGATGTTTGGTATTCTGTATTCCCCATTCATTAAGCTCATGCACTCGGCTCGCATTATATTGAAGAAATGCTCGGCTCCAAGAAGAATATCAATTTTTACAGGCTTTCCAAATTGAGGGTCAGCCAATATTATATTTTTTGGTATTTTCCAATTATCAGTTAAAATTGTATACGTTGGTTGATCAACGACTATGTGAGGCAAAACCGTTGCTTCAAGCCGTGAACTAAAATCGCCTTGTGTTGAGTTTAGCTGAACGTTGATCCTTGCCTCGGAAGTCTGAGATGTTCCGCCAATGCCATTTATTTTCAGCATCGAATTTGTGGTTTTCAGTGAGAGCATTTTATTTGCTCTTTCGGAAATGGCATTAATTTGGGATCCAGAGTCAATCAGGGCTCTGAATTCTGAATAATATCTTGAACGGGCGGTCGCCAGGAGAATATAGCTGGATTGCTTTCCACTCGCAGATGCGGCCGTGATACTATCCGAGAAGTCCGGTTATGTTTCCAAATGCAACAATGTATTGTGCTTTTTGTTGCATTTAAAGCAATCTAGTTTTGTGCAGGTCTTTGACGGGTGATTTTGGCTTAGACATTTAACACATAATTTTTGTTTTTTAACCCAGTTAAGACGTTCTGCTGGGGGTTTCTTTAAAAACTCATTGCATTTAAATTTGCTGTGATTTGGTTTCATACAAAGGAAAAAGTTATATTGTGTCTCAGCTCCAACTGATGCACATGTATTTTGTTTTCGTCCTTTTTCTGATCCAATGGCTTCAAACGTGAAAAACCTTTGTTCAAGAAAGTTTAAAAATTCGTTTATAGGTTGAATTTTCCTTGTATTTTGAACGGATTGTTCATACAACAAGTGGTTTTGTCGATCAAGCTTTTTTGTTAGAAGACAGAGTAGAAGTGGATCCCATTTGTCTGTCACATTATCATGCCACGATTTTATTGTTTTGGAATCATTTGTTATCATTGAATGATGCAATAATTTTTGAATTATGGTATTACTTAATACTCTTTTATTGTTGAAGCGTTCTTCAAGTGTTTTCCACGCAGTTGAATAATTTGCCTCCGTTAGTGATAAATGGCGAATTAGGCTCTCTGCCTCTCCATTAACGTTAGTCTTGAAGTACCACATTTTTTGTATAGTGGGTAACGTTGATTCGATAATTATTTTTCTGAAAATATAATGCAACTGTTGCTATTTTAAGTAATCCCCATCAAATTTGGGTATGGCTACCTTTGGAAAATGTAATGCATTTTGAACAGCTCTTGGTGGAGAACTATTTATTGTCTCCTTTTTCACATACATTTCGGTTTGTACATTTAATACTGCATCTTCTGCTGCCATGTATCTGCTGTCGTCATATCCAAGTTCCTTCGGGTCCTTAAATTTTTTAAAAAATTGGATATGAATATCATTCCAGTATTGTGTAATGACGAGTGTGAAATTTTGTTTCGTTTCTTCTGTCATTTTATTCATGATGCGCTCTAAGCTGTCAAGCAACACTCTCTGTTCTCTGAACATCGATTCTATTTCGATGTCCTCTGCTGTGGATGCGATGCATGTAACATCCGCTTCCAAAAGAGACAACTTATTGTTGAATTCTGTCTTATAATCCTTAACCAGTTGCTTCATTTTTTTAAAGAGTTCATTATTAAAATAATTGTGTTCTAGCGTGACTCCTTTGAGGAAATTATTTATTTCATTATCTCCGGAGTTAAATTTATCCCACAGGGATTCTAACGTTAATAAACGTTCTCTGTAGTAGGCTAGTTTAGTCTTCCTGTCGACGGAATCCTTTTTGTAATTCCGAATGACATTCTAATTGTCCTGTCATCAAGACACGTCCGTCGGCTAGATGCATATGGTTTATGACCCGTTTATCACATGCAGATGTGCACAGACCAAGAAATCAGTTACCTATTTATTTAGGTCAAAGTAGCTATCAGAAGCGAACGAATTTCTGCTAAGTCGAAATCGTACAGTGGCTGAAGCTACTACTCTTACTAAAGTACTTTCGATTGGCGACACACACTAGGCGTCGCTTTTCTGAGAATAAATTTATAACCATTTTTCTAAAGCTGACTTCATATTATTGTACTGCGCCCGGAGAACATAAAACAAGTTCGGCAGTCGATCGAACATTTACCTAAAGCTTAAGTTGTGTTTCTACACGATTTCCCATTATGATTATTTATTTATCTTTAACAGAGATTTAGGATTTTTTAAAGTTAGGTGCGGAATGTTCGAAATGTATAAGTAATCGTTAATAAGCTAACACGACTTAATTTTTCAAGGTCACATTTTGCTGCGGAGCCCCTGTGTCGGTTTTTGTGTCTCTGCGTTTTGTGTTCCTTTTTTGTGATAGTTGACAGTTTTATTTGTCAGTTAACTACTTTAATTATAAATTAATTAATTTTTTTTAGGTTTTTTTTAAATAATTTTTATTTTTATTCCAAAAGGAGATTCACGACAGTATATTTAAAATTTATGCGAAAAGCTGCGAAATTACGGGAAGTTATCGGAAATGTTCAGTTTAATATTGAGAATGACGGCTAAAATTTCGAAATCAACAAACTTTGTAACCTTTAGTTACCAAGATATAAGCGTTTCAACAAAAATCGAAAATCGTCGTTTGAGCTTGGTGGTCGTACGAGTTGGTGTGACCCATTTTCTAGCTCTAATAGTTCCTGAGATTTCAGCGATTTCCGTTTTTCGTGATTTGATCGTCATCTTTGTATCTTTTATAGTTCCGGAGATCTCAGCGTTCATACGGACAGACGGACATGGCTAAACGACTTGGCCAGTGGTCGCAAATAGGGGTCTTTAAAAGGTCACAAGAGCTTCCTTGTATCTGTTACATACTTTTTAATATTTACTTAAAGCATTTACTCGTATAGTAAAATGGATTTTGATTTACTCTACAAGTAAATGCTTCAATTATAGGGCCGATCACGGAAAAGAAAATAATCCGGGAAAACAGGAATCTAAACATTGATTCTTTGCTGAAAGAGAAGTACTGGATAGAGCTTTTGCAACTTAACTCAGGACCCAGAACCGATGGACACCCTTTATCTTCTTAATCTAGACAGCAGACAAACTTTTGGGTAGTTAAGCAATCTGCCAATGCAAACAAAGATAAAAGATTACGAAGCGCGGCTGTTGACGTCCTTAGTGCAATTGAGGATGGTAGTGACTCAGCTACTCCAACGACATTTTTTATCTGTCCTTCTAGGTAAACCTTCAACAGACCAGTCTGTGTTGTTGAAAATTAAGAATACGATTTCGAAGTTAACATGAAAAAACGACTGCTGAGCTATCAATTCTTATAATTCCAGCGAGCATGCGGAAGTCAAAAATACTTGACTATACTAGACTCAAAACCAGGAAAACCTCTTTTTACATAAGGCGGGGGAAAATACGAGTCTTACCGTTTGCTATTTGGGCTAGAAAACTCAGGAAGCACTTTCCATAGGTCGATCAACGATGTGCTACTCGAACATATCGGGGAAATGTATTATGTTTACGATGATGATGTACTATGTTTTTTGTTCGAGTCGAGTTTTTGGGCTTTATAGTGATAGCAAAAGGAACCAAAACCGACCCAAAAAAGGTTATGGGAATACTGGAATATACTGAACCAAAAAAGAATTCAGTCTCAGGTCGTTCCTTGGCTTGGCCAGGAAATGGTTTCGCGTTAATAGCAAGGATACTAACCTCTATTCTTAAAGTGGAAAATGGCACCGTTAGTAAACGCATGTTAAGGAAAGTTGCAATCGAATTTGACTAGGAACATCGTCTTTGGAACACAAATCGCATCCTTTTGAATTAAACTCTACCTAGGACTCATAGGACTGGTAATGTCGAGGCGAAACTCTGTCATTTGATGCTCGTGACTAAGTCTGACTTCTAGGACGCAGGTTATCTATTGCCTGCAATGTCATACGGCGCTCTAATGCTGTCAGGCACACTTGGATGGTGCTCTGCAACTCCCTTAAAGGTCGTCTTGGTGTTTATGTGGAACATCTTCTTGACCGGAGTTAGACTGAGATTGTGTAACGGTCCTGCTCTGGGGTGGCTGGGACCGTTCACCGGATACCAGCAGTTCGTTCCAACATTTAATTTGATATCAGGCGTGGTTGCTGCAAAGAAGATTCCACCCAGAGTAAGACGCAGCTTGTTTAGTTAAGAATAGAACAGATCTTAGTTATTTATTTCATATCTATGGGTAAAGAGTTAATTCACAGGGATCGGTTGGTCGTTGCCGTGGATGTTCTGCGGGCCTGGGAGAGAGAGCTTCCGAAGGGGGTAGCCGGGGGTTCGATGCTCCGTCGTGGGCCGTGGGGATGCCGCGTGGGGACAGGGCCAGGCCGTCTTGGTGATCCGCTAGCTAAGAAAGGGAAAGAAGAAATGATGGAACGTGTGTAGGCCCGAGGACCAGTCACGCGAGCGAGTGTGAATGTAAAAAGAAGAGAGATCTGGGGTTCGGTATGAGAAAGAGTGAATGGAAACCCAGTGGGTCTCGGGTGAGATGATGACGCGAGGCCCAACGGGTCCGACGCGTAAGAAAGGCAAAGCCCTTGTGGGTCTCTTGCGTGAGATGACACGAGGCCCTTTGGGGTCCGACGCGTAAAAGATTCAAAGCCCCTGTGGGACTCTTGCGATAGACCCTTCTGCCGGCGTACTGTCTTCGGCATTCGGTTCTCCCCCCTTCTGTCGTAGTTGTCCGATTTTCACTCCAGTTGCTCCTGATACCTTGGCGGTAAGAAATACTCTAGGAGTTCCCTTCTCAGCTCTTCCCATGTCCTTACCCGACTTGGCGTCGTATTCCACCAGTCTTCTGCGGCGCCTTCCAAGATAAATGGCATCGTCTGTACCAATGCATCCTTGTTTATGCCATATCCTATGGTCGATTCCTCTATCTTGCCTAGGAACTACAGTGGGTTGGATGTCCTTAGGTACCGTATTCCCCATCTCACTCTGTCTAGAGTTTCCACTTTCCTCCTGTCTCCAGTGCTCCGTGCTTCCTCTTTAGTGGCCGTCCTTTTGCTGTCCGGCTCGACCTGGACTCTTTCCACCCGTTATTTCCATTTTCTTGTACTTATTTGATACCTCCAGAAATCTTGTCCTGACTTCCTCTGTGTGATCCGTGCTCTTTGTGTATATCGCCAATCTCTGTCTTAGTTCCCTTGATCCTCCGCTTGGGTCTACGCCAAATTCACTCGCGTATTCTACCAGCTCTGCTTTTGTAGCCTGGTATACCCAGCTCGACATTACTCTCTTGGTGTCCTTCTTCCTGCAACCACTTCAACCTGTTCGGGCGCCATGTAAAATATGCAAAGCCCCTGTGGGACTCTTGCGAGAGATAACACGAGGCCCTTTGGGTCCGACGTGTGAGCGGTGCAAAGCCCCTGAGGGGCTCTTGCGAGAGATGACGCGAGATGCAAAGCCCCTGTGGGTCTCTTGCGAGAGATCACGCGAGGCCCTTGGGGTCCGACGCGTAAGAGATGCAAAGCCCCTGTGGGTCTCTTGCGAGAGATGCCGGCAGTGATCCAGTGGACCTGCTGCGGCGAGCGTCGGCGGGTGGCCGATGGCAGTGCTTCCTCGGTACGCCGAGGCCGAATGTATTAGATTTAGCCCCAGCTAAATCCTACCCAACAAAGATGACGCGTGGCCGTGGGGTCCGATGCGTAAGAGATGCAAGGCCCGGTGGGACTCTTGCGAGAGATGACGCGAGGCCCTTTGGGTCCGACGCGTGAGAAATGCAAAGCCTGTTGAGGCTGTTGCGAGAGTATTGGCAGTGATCCAGTGGATCTACTGCGTGCAAGCATCGGCGAGTGGCCGATGGCAGTGCTCCCTCGGTATGACCGAGGTCGAATGTATTAGATTTAGCCCTATACTAAATCAAACCAAAAAAGTGACTAGTGCTGGTGAGGGTGCCCAACTGCGAGAGAGGGCTGATCTTACCTGTGTGAGATCCACCGCAAAAGTGACTCTTCCCAGAAACGGGCAGTGTGCCCGTTCCCGGAAATCCCTTTATGTGGTGTGACAAAATATAATTCGGAATAGGGCCAACCACTTGTGCTGAGTGTCACCCTTGGTTTTCCTAAGCCACTAGCTTAGAGTTGTACCGTTTATAAGGGGAATAGCAGTAGTTGTACCCGGCCGCTTTCTCTTCCGCAGTTGCGGGGATCTGAAACGCAGACACGATAGGAGGAACCGAAGCTGGAGTATTACTTCTGTCCTTAAACTCGCTCAGTCGGTCAGATACTGCAATGAATTAGTTCACAGCTCTTCATAGAACGCGTGACTTTGATGGAGATAGAAGGTATAATTGATTTCGAAAAGGATGGATTTCCTGAGCTACGAGAACCGCTAGTGGTATTTATTTGGTATAGTGGTATTATTTATTTTTCTTTTACAATTGGCATAATAAAGCGATCACAAAGGTTATACCCATTTCGTTAAATAACGACAAAATTGGAATGGCTGTAAAATGAAACAAAACAGGAGGAAACGCTAGAGTCGAGTGCTGCGACAATAAGATACCAGTTACTGTTTAAAAAATTTTAAAATATTAATTTTGTTAGTGGAAATGGACATGCCGCCACCTTTTGTCAAAAAAGCATGTTTATTAACTGATGGTGTCGTCACTGTCCATGTGAGGCCTATAATAATGGTCCGATTTGAAAAATCGTGGTAAATCGATAGATACTAACAGAAATAAGTTATACAAGGTCAAACGAAGGCCATCATAATAATATTATAGACGCCACAGTTTTCCGCTGTTTGTGGGCGTTAGAGTGGGCGTTGCCGGATGCAACTTTCCTAAGAAAAATTTTGTAGCTCTTATAGTTATCGAGATTGTTGCATTTTTGTTTTTCGCGATTTGTGGGCGTTAGAGTGGGCGTGACAGTATGTAATAAACTTGCGCTGCGTAGGGATTTTAAGAATCTTCATGGTTAATCTTAACTTTGTATCTCTTATAGTTCCTGAGATCTCAGCGTTCATACGGACAGACGGACGGACAGACGGACGGACAGACGGACGGACGGACAGACGGAATTTCCACAAGCAAAATGAATATTTTAAAATTGTGTAAAACAGTAACGGGTATCGCGGCACTCGACAATAGCGTTTCCTCTTGTTTTAAAATAGAATCAAAAGCATAAACGTGTTCATTTCAACAGCGCATCGGAGCTCTGGTAAAATATTTAAAAGCAAAAGCGAACTTAAAATCGGGCTGGTAACAATTCAAGTTTATAAATTTTTAGATTTTGAAGCTTATGGTATGTTGAGCAACTAAGAGTTTTTAATTGCTTTAAAATAAAATGAGCCGGAACAGTTCAATTTCCAAATTTTTATTCCGAGTACAAATTAAAACCAAATCAACTTGGCAACAAGACCACGCCGGATGCAAGAAGTATAGCTTAACAAGAAAAGCTTCAAGCTTCAGCTGTTCTCCAAAAAAGGTCCCAAAAGTGCATGCGCTACAAAGTAACAGTTAAGCGCATGCGAAACTGAGATAACCAAAACAAAACTGGAAACTGCTGATAAACCCGCCGCTGCTTATCCGTCTTTGTCTTTGGCTGCTTGGCCCAAAATTCTCCCCACGTTGAAGGCTGGCCCTTCAACAAATTACTTGGGGGCAGCAGACACAACCTTGACAACGCACGCCTTGTTGTGCCAACAGCTGTCTTAAGTACGGCAGCACGGTTCAATTTTAACAGAACGATGGTCAAACGCTGCAGCTCCCAGCCTCCAATGCCCACCTCATCGTTGCTCTTATTGTACAGCTTTACGAAATTGCCCTTGGGACTAGGAGTCTTTATAAGGTCCCAAAAACTCATTTAGTCCACGAGTAAAAGCTTTAATTATGGGGCCGACCACGGCAAAGACAAAAAATCAGGGAAATCAGGAATCTAAGCAATGATTCTTTTCGGAAAGAGGAGTACTTGATGGAGCCTTTCATGTCAAATCAGGCTCCAGAATCCATGGACCCCCTTTATCTTCTCAATCTAGACAGCAGACAAACTTTCGGTTAGTACAGGGGAACATTACACAGTTCCTGTTCTCAAAGAACTCAAAAAGACCAAAGTCTTTAGAAAGAATGATACGTCAAAGACAACGTAAACAACGAGAAGCAATCTGCCGATGCAAACAAAGATAAAGACTACGAAAGAGCGGCTGTTGCAGTCCTTAGTGCGATTGAGAATGACAGTGGCTTAGCTGACCGTTTGGGCTAAAAAATGGAGGAAGCTTTTCCCAAAGGTCGATCAAAGGACGATGTGCTATGTGAATCTATCGGGGAAAGGTAATATGTTCACGTTTATGACGTACTATTCATTCCGAAAAAGCTACTGACCACGTAGTACATACGCCACACGAGGTATGTCAACAATCAAAACAGAGCCAGAAAAGGTTAGGGCAATACTGGAAGATACTGAACTCCAAAATGTATTCAGTCTCAGGTTGTTCCTTGGCTTGGTCATTTTATAGAGAATTTTCGGAAATGGATTCGCGTCAATAGCAAGGCTACTAACCTCTATTCTTAAAGTGGAAGTCTTTAAAATGGAAGTCTTAATAAACGCATGTCAAGGAAAGTTGCAATCGAATTTGATGAGGACGATCTTCTTTGGAACACAAATCGCATCCTTTCGAATTAAACTCTACCTAAAACTTATAGGACTGGATGTGTCGAGACGAAACTCTGTCATTTCATGCTCGTGACTGAGACCTGGTTGGAGGACGCAGGTCATCTCTAAGGTCAGATGGAGCTCCGGAAAATATTGAGCTCTAGCCTTGTCGTAATCATTTCTTATCTAAGGACTATTCTCATAAGAAAAGCGTCAGCTTTGGAAGCTTTGAAGAGATCAGGTAGACGAGAAGACAATCATAATTTTCAATATCGAGTCCTCTAACGCTGTCACGCACCCTTGGATGGTGCTTTGCAACTACCTTAAAGGTTGTATTGGAATTTATGTGGAACAGTTTCTCGGCTAGAGTTAGACTAGGGTTGTTAATGTAAATTGCTGTAAATAGATCGCGGAAAGTTGTTCAATGAAGATAATACTAGCCTTATTCTACCTAATCCACTAGCTGAGAGTCACACCGTTTATAGGAAGAATAACAGTAGTTGTATTAGGCTGTATTTTCTTCAGTTGCGGGGATCTGGGATTACTAGTAAAATTCCCTTTCTACTTTCTTCTTCAATATACGGACTTGCTTGCAACTGAAGAGCAAACACGATAGGAGGAACCGAAGCTGGAGTGTTATAGGATAAACTTTGATGGACGTAAAAGGTATTATTGTAAATCCTAAAATTCCCTCTCTAGTTTCTTCCTTGCGGACTTGCTCGCGGATCAGAAGCGCAGACACGATAGGAGAAACCAAAGCTGGAGTGTTACTTCGGTTCTCAAATTCAGTTGGTCAGATACTGCAATGAATTTGTTCAAAGCTATATTGGATGCAAAAAGACCAATTTTGGATTTAATGGATTTCGAAATGGATGGATTTCCTGAGCTACGATAACCTCTAGAGGTGGGAATAAACATTTTCTTTATTATCTCTTTCAATGGGCATAATAAAGCGAACAGGACGAGATTTTTGCATTTTTGGTATTTCGGGTTTTGTGGGCGTTAGAGTGGGCGCGGCTTGATCGGAAGAAAACAGTTCGAATTGCGAGCATCATAGAAACCTACATGCTTAATCCGAACTTTCTATCTCTTATAGTTACCGAGATATCAGCTTTTCTAGAAAATCCGAAAACCGTCTTTTGAGCCTTGTGGGCGTATGGGTGGGTGTGGCCGGATAGTAGTACCACTATAAGATGCGTTGCCATCTAAAGATTATACTTTCTGAATTTCAACTTTCTAACTGCAATAGTTCCTGAGATTTCAGCAATTTTAGTTTTTTGCGATTTGTGGGCGTTAGAGTGGGCGTGGCAGGATGCTGTAATAAACTTGCGCTGTCCCGGGATCTCAAAAATTTTCATGCTTAATCTCAACGTTGTATCTGATATAGTTCCTGAGATCTCAGCGTTCCTTACGGACGGACAGACGGACAGACGGACAGACGGACATGGCTCAATCGACTTCGCTATTGATCCTGATCAAGAATATATATACTTTAAAGGGTAGCAAAAAGCTTCCTTCTATATGTTACATACTTTTCAACGAATCTAGTATACCCCTTTTACTCTACGAGTAACGGGTATAATTAATAAAAACTAATTTGATATGTGAAACTAATTTGTTTGTACCTTTTTGGTGTGTCTTAAATTTGTTTATCTAAATTTGTAGTTGAGTTTTCAAACGATTCCCCATTAGGATTATTTTTATCTTTATCAGAGATTAAGATATTATCGTTAAAGTTAGGTGCGGAATATTCTATATGTATTAGTAATCGTTGATATGCTAATACGACATTTTTTTCAAGGCCGCATTTTGCAGCGGAGTCTCTGTGTCGTTGTTTCACGACAGTATATTTTAAATTTATGGTGCACCAAAGATCGGAAGCTATCGGAAATGTTCAATATAATATTGAGAACAACGTCTACAATTTCGAACTCAACAAACTTTGAACTTGTAGTTACTGAGATATCAGCGTTTCTACGAAAACCAATAATCGTCTCGCGCTTGGTGGGCGTGGCCCATCTTTAGCTCCAATTATAGAGATTTCATCGATTTTAGTTATTTGTGATTTGTGAGCGTTAGAGTGCACATCGACGCCACTCGAGGAATGTCGTGACTGAGACTGGCTTGGAGGACGGTACTGGTATCTTATAGTCGTGGCACTCGACTATAGCGTTTTTCTCTTGTTTTTAATAATTTTTATTTGCATTCCCAAAGGAGACTCACGACAGTATATATTAATTTTTATGGTCACCAAAGATGGTAGATGGTGGAAGGTAATAACGGCTACAATTTTGGACTCAACTAACTTTGTAACTTATAGTTACCGAGATATCAGCGTGAGCGGTGAGCGTGGCCCATCTTTAACTCTATTAGCTCTAATTCCTGAGGATTTCATCTGTTTTAGTTTTCAGAGTCGGCGTGACATGGACCTCACGTATTTAATTGCTCAATCTTATCTTTGATCTTGTACAGTTCCCTGAGATCTGAGCGTTCATATGGACAGACGGACATGGCTAATCGGGGCTAGGGGTCTTTATTAGGTCCCAAAAAGTTTCTTTCTTTCTGTAACGTACAAAAACAAAGATGAAAATTACGAAAAAGAGTGGCTGTTGCAGTCCTTAGTGCGATTGAGAATGGCAGTGGCTTAGCTGACCGTTTTGGCTGACCGTTTTGGGTAAAAAATGGAGGAAGCTTTTTCCAAAGGTCGATCGACGATGTGCTATGTGAATCTATCGGGGAAAGGTATTATGTTTACGATGATGACGTACTATTTCGTTCCGAAAAATACTGACTACGTAGTGCAACTATGTATGTCTTATAGTTTCTGAGATCTCAGCGCTCACACGGAAAGACGGACCAACAGACGGGAAGACGGATATGGCTTAATAGACTTTGCTATTGATACTGATCCAGAGTATAATCAATACAAAGAAGAATATATTCAATATAATCTAATATGCTCTTTGGTATGTGGGCGTTAAAATGGGAGGGCGAAGACCGAAGGAAAAAATAATATGCTCTGGTGATATCACTGGAAACTACATGCTTAATCCAAACGTCGTCTTTTGTGTCTTAGTGTTTGTGTTTGTCTTTTGTGATTGTTTACAGCTTTTATTTGCCAGTTAATTACTCTAATTATTAATTAGTTAATTATTTTTACGTTTTTTTTAAATTTTTTGTTTGCATTCCCAAAGGTGATTCCCGACAGTATATTTTAAATTTTTGGTGCACTAAAAGATGGTAGCAAAGCTGCGAAATTACGAGAATCTACAAAATGCGAAAATCGTCTTTCGAGCTTGGTTGGCGTACGATTGGGCGTGGTCAATCTTTCTAGCTCTAATAGTTCCTGAGATTTTAGAGATTTTACTTCTTCTGATTTGTGGGCGTTAGAGTGGACGTGACAGGGACATCAAGTATCTGCTTGCTTAATCTCATCTTTGTATCTTTTATAGTTCCTTAGATCTCTCAGCGTTTATTTCGAAAAATAATGGTTCTGTGCGAAATACGTATTGAATTGAAGCCGAACGATTATCAAGCAAGGGGTAGATTAGTCGAAAGGCCCCAATACGAGTTTGCCATTGTTCCCGATTTTCTTAAGCGGAATTCTGTTTAGCAATGTAGCGCCCTTCTGGTTGAATGGTTCATGTTAATCGAATAATCCATCGTTATTTTATTGAAATATAAAGCTCTATACCTCCAAAAAACCCCTTTACATATTTATATGTGGTATTTATTCTATGTATAGCCATACGTATTTATATTAGAAATTAAAATTTGTGATTATGAAATAAAAACACCCACCAAGTTCAAGATTTTTCGCTGAAAAGCTGATATCTCGGTAACTATAAATTGAAAGAAAGAGTTCGGACTAAGCATGTAGGTTTTTATAATGCTCCCAATGCGAATTGTTTTTTTCGATGGAGCCACGCCCACTTTAACGCCGACATATCTTGAAAACAAAAAAATGCGAAAATATCGGGAACTATAAAAATGTAGTATGCACTAATATTGAATACCCACTCGTACAAGTTCTCTAAAGGTTACGCACTGTAACACTTTGTTGCAGTGTTTACATAATTCATGGTCCCGGTCATAAACCCCCAAGTGGCCAAAAGTATGAACTGATCGCTATGGCTTAGGTCACACGCAAAAAGTGATAGCGTCGGCATAATTTGCATGAACGGACCGCATATTGCATACCCCCTCACGCCCTT